GCACGAACGTCATCATGATGGAGAGGCTGGTGGCACTGCGGGCCGCGTTGACAGATGTTGTGGCCGACGATCGCTGGCGCGAGACTGTTTGGTCGACCAGCAAGATCCGCAAGGATGCAGCGGAGGTCACTGCATGTATCGGCTCCCCTCCATGGTGGGAGGATTTGAGAGCTCTGTGCAAGATGCTAGAGCCCATCATGGGCATGCTGAAGTTGGTGGACAGCGACACACGCCAGATCAGCAAGATCTGCGACGTTACGAGGAAATGATTGCATCTTGTTTATCCGCATGTCGTGACATTGGTCGGGAGCAGCAGGACGCTATTGTGGAGGTGTTCCACAGGCGGCGCACCATGTTCAAGACCCCCGCCCACACGGCAGCCATGCTGCTAGATCCAGAGTTCCGGGGCGCGACGCTTTGTGACGATGCAGAGGTGCAGCAGGCCTTGGTCGAGGCCCTTGTCCAGTTCGGCTACCCGGAGGATTCGCCGCAGCACCGGGAGGTCCAACGAGTGGTCGCCAAGCTCCACACGAGGAAGCCCCCTTTCGATGAGCTCACCATGCGGCGAGCTGCGGATATCTTTGATCACCCTGCCAGTTTTTGGTCCTCAAAGAAGGCGAAGTTCCCTCACACGGCCGTGTTTGCAGGCAGGATCCTTCGTATATGGGCGACCGCCTCACCGTGCGAGAGAGCGTGGTCTCGTTGGAGCTTCATTCATTCGAAGTCTCGCAACAGGTTGGAGGTTCCCCGGGCTGAGAAGCTTGTGCGGTGCCACTGGAACCTCAGGCTACTCGATCGGCCTTCGTTGTGCGACGATGGTGTTGGAGAGAGGCCCGGCGTCTTCGGGAAATGGGTGCATTATTGGCAGGCCGTGGAGGACGAGGCAGCCGTGGACCAGCAGCTCGTCAGAGGCACCGGTGTTCTGGCGAAGGTGACCGAGGAGGAGTTGAGCCTCGCCAGAGAGAGGATGCGCGTCATTTTCCGCATGGGAGCCGAGCGTCGGGTGGCGGAGTCGGACAGGAGGCGACGCAGGGCTGGTGGTCGGGGACATGGCGGTCGTGGACGAGCAGGTGTGGGAGGACGTACACGTGGCGATCCGGGTTCCGCTCCTCGGACTTGCCGACAGCGGACGGATGGTGGCATTCGCAGGGCCCGCATGCGTTGGGACGAGGGTGACTTTTTGTTCGACAGCACATCCAGCGACGACGACGATTTCTTTGCGTCGGGAACACATGCATCCACGGGTGATGATAGAGGTGACGCTGTCGGTGCGAATACCCTTACAAGGGTATCCGCCCTGGTTTTTGCAAGTGACAGAAAATAGTTTGGTCTAGAGTCTAAGTATACCGCGCTAAGCACAGTTGCGTCAGTAATTGCTTTGATAGGGTGGTTGACCGCAATAGCGAGTGCGTGGGCGCGCAGGTTTAAGGCGCGCGTGATTCTTTTCTGTTATTTTATCATAAAGTCGACAGCGGACATTGGTCGTTGGTTAATAATATTATTAATATTTATTTTTATTTTTGATCAAGCAGGGTTTTGAGATATTTTTTGTTGATTAGTATGACTGACCGAGGCGAGCGCGTGTGCGAGGGCGACGGCATCGACAGTGATGGATACGGCCAAATAGGGGTAGCCGCGGCACGGCCGGTGGGCCGGCGCGTTTTTTTTTTCTTTTCTTTTTCCTTTTTTCGGCGGCCATGCCTACAGGCGCGGGCCGAGAAGCGGCCCAAGGCGGTTCCTTGGCCCTAAGAGTCAGGGACTACCTCTTTATTAGGAGGTATGTGCCTGTTGGTGCCAGGCTTGGGCTTAGCCCTATA